AAAAAAAAAATTACACGTTTAAAAACAAGCACGACAACAACCTTAAGCAAGGCGTCCTCTGTCTTCTCCGGATTCGCCTTCAGCGCCTGAGCAGCGTCCATGATGGGAACAGGCATGAAACGAATGGTGTAGTTCCTGATGGAGAAACAGCACATTTTATTCCTTCATGCAACTACAAAGCCAGGACAGGGCTTATGATGGTGACTCAGCTGTAACCAACAGCCACGTGATGACAATTCACAGACTTTTAGGTTGAAGCAGGCCGTGTTTACACATAGAATATACATAGAAGGCAAGTATAGAAACAAATTAAGAATGTAAGTAGTAAAAACGCCTGGTAACGCCTGTGACTGTGGGAAATGTTGTACATGTTGATTAAATTGTTTTAAAAATAAATTATCATAGAAACATAACTTCTGTTTACTTGTTTGTATGATTTATGGAATTTGAGCTGCACAAAATGCATTTTTGAGCTCATTTTACTTCTAAACATGGTTGAGCTGTTTAGATAGATTGTATATTGCAGGGAAAGTGGGTAAAAATGCAACAGGAACAGAAAACTCAGAAACTGCTAGGACTTCAGAAGGTTAAAATGTCTAACTTTACAGCAGAAATGAACATATTTACAGCCTGGTACAAAAAAATGCTCTTGCTCTCCACAGCTAATGTTGCTGACAACTGTAAGCCTTAAAGTTTTGCATCGTTAATGGCCTGGGTGGCAAAGAGGATTCTGAAAATGAAGTAACATGAGGACAGGGGAAGTGAAGAGAATGCAGTCTTCATCTGACTAGTCAAACCGTACAGAATGCAACAACACCTTCTTGGACTCTTACATAAACACGTTACTTCATACTTACTTCTCCAAAGCAGCAGCTACGTCCTGCAGACCCTGAGGACTGACATTGTTTCTGTCCCACACTAACGTCCTGTAAAGAGAAGCACATCAAATGGTTGGAGAAAAAAAAACAAAACAAACAAACACAAAGACACATTTCGGTGAGTGTGCTCTGCAGCCTTGTAGCTTTAACAGCCACTAAACTGGACTTCTGTGATTAAATCTGAGAAAGACACCTGAGCTTGGTGTTGATCTGCAGAGCTTTGGCCAGCATCTTGGCTCCCATGTCACCCATGGAGTTCCCACTGATGTCCAGTTTGGTAAGAGAGGTGTTGCTGCCCAGAGCGTTGAGGATGATGGAGAGGTCGGACTTCAGCTTGGAATCCGCCAGGGACAGCGAGGTCAGCGGCTGCAGTCAAAGAAAAGAGTCATTTTACAGGCAGGTTGTTTTCCAGATGTTAATATGATGAAATTAATGACACCATTAAAAAGTTGTTCCAATTAGGGGAAACATAAAATGAGCAAATGCTTCCTAGATCCTGAAAAAGATTCACTTACTGACTCCTCCTCTTGAATCATATGAACAAGGTTGTCGAGGACCTGAGCCACATTTCTGCAGGAAAAATATGTTACAGTTTGAAAAACAGGCAACTTGTACGATACCACTGTGTTCGACTGTTTTTTTCTCGTCAGTCACCCACTTGGATTTGATATTGTTGAAGTTTTTGCCCAGTGAAAGGTGCCTGATGGAGCGGTTCTTGGCCAGCCAGACGAGCAGAGTGGTCAGATCCATATCCAAACCTGAGTGTGGAAGCACAGAAACATAAATGATTAGAATTTGAGTCAACACAGCATCAACTAAAATGTTTAAAAACTACAAAACT